ACCCTCCGCAAACTGGCGCGGCAGCTTGACCCCACCCTCCTCCGACTCCGACTCCGACTCATCTTGATGGGCGGTCTTCCCCTCCGCAAGCTGAGCGGGCAACTTGACCCCACCCCCCTCCGACGACTCCGACTCCGACTCATCCTGATAGGCGGTCTTCATCTCGTTGAGCGTCTGCGTCTTCTCATCCACCTCATGCAAAGCCTTTATCATCTCGTCCGTCGCCTTTGCGAGAGTCTCGATCGACTCTGCAAGAAGATCTAGAGTCTTTGGCTCAGTATCGGTTGTCGCAGTCCTGTTGCCGTTAGTAAGTTCTAAGTGCCCATAATGCTATCCACACGCTACTAAGCACGGATGCAGACTTACTGTTCAGCGAGATTCTTGGCATCCTTCAGCTTCTTGCAGGTCTTCTCATCGGCGCATGCCTGGCACTCTGCCTCTTTCGTCTTGGTAAGGGAGAGGATGGCGCAGTATAAGGCGGGCCTATGCGGCGGGTCGCGGCGGGAGCACGGGCGGAAGTCAAAGCCTCCGTCGTGGCCGCAGGCGTACAGATAGTTGGTCTGGAGGCACATTTTGATAAAGGACTTGCGAAGTGGTTGTAGAAAATGAACGGGGATGGCGAAAGAGGTTGCGAAGTTTGTGGCGTGGTTGCGGAGACATGGGAGAATGAGGTTAATATCAAGGGGGAAGGCGGCCAGTACGAGCAATCGAGAAGCCAAGAAGCCGTTCTCGAAGACGAATACGAAGGCATGAAGCACTATTTTGAAAAACGGGGCAGCCGCGTCAATGGGCATGCCGAGAAGATAAGTCGCCGCCCATTTCATGTCGCCGGACAGGAGGAACGCGAATGCGAGCAGCATCACTCACCGGGGATGGACTAAGAGATGTACTTCTACGCGCAAACTTGCAGGGACGTCACAACAGAAGCACTGTGCGGTGCTGATCTAGTGCCCACAAGGGCATACTTACTGCGGCTTGAAGGTCACTGCGAGCGGTTCTTTTCACGCCAATCATTAGCAGAGAGGTTTCAAAAGATGTCAAATTGTGTGCGACCTAAAAGGAGCAATCGTAAGCCATCATTCGTCAACCGTGCCGTTATGTCAGTTCAGACTCACCTCCTCCGAGTCTTAGACTCGGAATTGCTGTCCCCATATACATCCTTCGGATACTTGCCAACATACCCATTGCAATAGGCACAAGGATAATCGAGCGTGTATTGGCGCTCGACAAGCTTGTGCGCCGGCTTCGCTCTCTGCGTGCAAGGCTCGATGATGGGTCGGTCGTTGCCGTGCCCGCACGAGTAGGTGTAATACGAACCGACACACATCTTGCTTACGGAGATCTTCGGGCTCGGTGAAGGAAGTGGGCGAGTAAGGGCGGCGGAGAAGAGCAGAGGTTCTGGAATGCGTTGTCGTTTGCCTAAATCAGGGATCTAGCAAGCTGCGTTTGCAAAGAAGAGCGGGCGAGGAGCAGAAATGAAGCGCGGAAGCGAAGCTCTATAAACGCCCTGGGCAAAGTCAGAAGTGATATCGCAAGCTTCACAGAGAACTCACGATTGTGCGGTTAGCCCACAAACGTTGCAGTCTTGATCTCCCTTTCTTCGACAACAAAGCCCGTAGCAATGCTGTGAGAGACGTCAAAGACCGACAAGGGCGTAATGCTCAATGAAATGTGCGATAGAACTGATTCTGCGGCCAGGCCAGCTGTTTCTTCTAAGATTGCCTAGTCGAAGGTAAAACGTGAGGAGATGGAGTAGAGGGACGACTTCAATCCCCGACTCCCATGATCCTGCCCTAAGGCAAGGGCTGTGGTGGTGACCCGGAACCACCTCCGAGCTCCACCCCCGGACTCCGGCAAGGGTCCATGTGGTTCTAGGCCTGATCGCGTGGCAGGCAACGAAGTGGAGACGACTTCGAAGTATACAACAAGATGTGCAATTGATACTAATCCTTCAGCTAGGTCAGCGAGTTTCTAAACTCAACATGGTGCTGTTTTTCCCTCACTTTGGCAGGCGGGCAGAGACCAGCAAGTTGACAAGCCCGCTCTGGCTGAGCGGCGGCTTCCAACAATGCCGCTGTGCTGCCTGCCTCATGGCGCAGAGCTAACTCATGAAAGTGGTTCTGCTTTGTTGGTTCGAACAATTTGTTGTTCACTGAGTGAAAGTTTGGTCTCACATTTTATCATCCGATCAGGTATAATACCGTTGAAGAGTGTCCCATGAACTCATTCACCACCCTTCCATCTTCCACTTCCAGCATCTCCTTCCATCCAACTCTGCAGATCAAGATGTGCGTCTTCCAGATCATCACTTATTGGTGCGGGCACGAATACACCGTCCCTGTCAAGGTCTGCGAGGACGAGTCGCGTACCGGGCACAAGCAGACAATCTGGAATGAGACAAGAGAGCTTTGTTATATGTGCGTAAAGGGTAAGAAATTAAGAACGTTCCCCGACGGTTGGCGGATCGTTCCGTTCGCATCTCGATCGAAGGAGTATCCGCAGCCTTTTGGATTTCTTGTGCTAACCGGCCGTTAAGTCCCTTGTAAAGACCTGTAATTCATCAGCTTAATTCACCTGCTACAATTCACCTGCTACAATGCACTTGCCAACTTAGACGTGAATCGCCCGTCTGAGGTATATATACCCTCCTATCCCATCCGAAATGTTAAGTCCATCCATCCCATATCCATCACAATCCGATTTCAACCATAATGTGTATCTATCAGTGGGTCGAATACATCTGTGGCCACAGGGACAAGGAAATGGTCCGCCCCTGCGACGAAACTCCAGAGCACTGTCGGGAGACCGTTTTACATGGACTGACATTCGGACGCACTCGGTGCCGGCAATGTCAGATCCAGATCCTTGATGTGCTGGCGAGAGAGGCCGCAATGCGGAGGAGATATGATTAAAGCATTAGCGGAGGTCTGACTTTGATGCTATCGCGTGGAGGCTAGGAACTGAGACTTCAACTCTTGGACTCTCCGTGCTGGCGATGCGGGACCGAAATGTTTGCTTGAGGCAACGTCCGAAAGAGCTGATTCGAGACTCTGGAGGATGAATAAAGACTGCGAAAAGGTTCAGTAGCTAGATTAAAGCCGTAGGTTGCTGAATCTAGAGCTTTGAGCTTTCACTGGTGATGTTGAAAATGCGGCTGTTTCAGCCTTGCCATCGCAAACGCCAAAACACGAATAAAGCCCCCATCCTTTGTCCCACCCTTTCACCCATCAAAGAACAAACCCCCACGTCCCATCACCCGCCTCATTCACTTCCCAAACGATCACCACCTTCCACCCTTCGCCATTGATCGTCTTCGTTTGACGTCACACCCAGCCCTAGTCCAAATACCCCCGTCGTAACATACGCTGACTCAACCCTTATCCACCCAAAAAACAGCTTACCTAACCCTCCGCCCCCGTCCCGTCCCGCGAGCCCCCCCCTGTCCCGCCCCCAAACCCACAGACCCACACCCACCAGGCCGGCAAGCACAACGCGACAATGCAAGGGCGCGGCCCCATTCACATCGCACCCCGACCCACCCACCAAGGGACCACCCAACCACTCACCACTCATCCCCAGCTCACCCAGGACCTCAGCTCCGCAATCTCATCTCGCTGACAGCGGACGAATCGCTTGCTCTACCGGCCCGCGAGACGCCGCGGCGATGGAATAGCGGATAGAACTGTCAGATTTGCTCGCCGACGCCGAGATGGCGCCCTTGGTTTGCGCTCTGGAGAGGGTTGGGGACGTCGCGCACCCCTTCTTTTCCCCGCGTTGATCCCCCCGAGCACAACATATCCCGTCCGACCTACCGTACGTTGTTAGCTCGGTGTGTGCCTTGCGATTTCCCCGCTGCTGCTGTGCTAGGGTGGCGTCGATATGCATGCGCGGTGTATTGCCATGCGAGTTCGGTCTGCGGGCCGGGACTGCAGGCGGAGAGCGCAGCGTCCGCGCAGCGTGCGCAGCGGAAGTGCACCGGACGTGTTGCTTCCTTCCGCACATTGCGCAGCTAGAGGGCTTGGACTGCGTCGTTGTGTGGAATGTGGTGTGGAAGATGCAGGGGGCGTCGAAAACCCACTGCGTAGTGGCGCACTGGGCTGCGGGAGGCCGATTGGCGCGTGGGCTGAGATAAGGTGCGCCCGCGGTGTGGGTGCGGCGAATCGGTGGAGGAGGGGAGGGAAATTACCGGCGGGGACCAATGGGATTTTTGCGACTGTGAGTGAATTTCACAGCATTTATTGCTTTTAGGAATGGGAGATTGAGGTTAGGCTGCTGGCGAAAGAGGTGGTACTTCGGTGTGTGCTTTCTGGATGAGAGGTTGCGAGGGTTGGGAAGGTCCCGTGTCGGGTCCCCGATGCTGCCTCCGACGGCTTCTTTCTGGTGGCGCTGGCACGGGATCGGCGACGGCGTGCGGGGAAATTTACGCCTTATGCCTTATGGGGCGCTGGTGACGATTGGGGGCTGGAGATGGGCATGTTCGATCGGCGTGACGTTTGTGGCGTTCGGGGCTGTTTTTCGGCTTATGAGGTTAACGGGATTGGGGGGGGGGATGGAGATGCGAATGCGACGTGTGCAGGAGACGGTGCAGAATACGGTGCTTGTTCGTTGGTCTGATGTACTTCAGTGTACTTCTGTCGCATTGGATGACTGGACGAGAGGTTCTGAGCTGAAGTACACCCCACGCGTCGTGCGTCTGTCCTATCACGATGTCCGTGGTTCGTGGGGTTTCTACTCGGAGGTTTTGCTTCAGCCGGCTTGCCTTGCGCGTGCTTGCTGCGGTTTCATGATGTGCGACTGGCTACTCAGGTATATCGTCGATGTCGCATATCCTCACTGTCACCAGCTGCATGTCTGGCATGGCCGTCGAGCGGTTCACTCCAACTCACGACATGCATGGTACTTGCAGCAGCTCGGTCGCGATACCGTCAACTCTGTCTCCGCGCGCGCCGCGCCCACCACCTCTCAGACCCGTTTCCCAACTCCGCATCGCATCCACCACCGGTCGGTTAGCTCAGTTGGTTAGAGCGTGGTGCTAATATGAGTCTTGAATGTACTTGTACACGCCAAGGTCGCGGGTTCGACCCCCGTACTGACCAGAATCCACCCCTTTGCTCCCTCATGAGCGCTTCTTTTTATCCATTGGCCATGTAGCTTCGTTCAGCCTACCCGGATGCCGAAATGCGTGCAGAAACCTGATAACCACCGTAGATAAACATCGTCGAGAACAATTCGCTGGAGTTGCATGTTCCGTCGAGACGTGAACTTGGATAACCAGCAGGCCGGGGAGCTGACGTGGATGTGCAGTCAATATATACCTGCAGCATTGGCCTGCAGCGTGTCGGTGCCTGCACCTGTTATACGCCGGCGCGGCGCTGCGTGTCTCTGGGCGCATTGTGTTTCGCTGTCGTTGTGTATCGCTGTCGTTGTCTTTGTCGGCGTTGTCGCTCGTAGAGTAGCACCACCGCTCCAATGAGCCTGTTCTCACCCGGCCGTGCCTCGGCAACGTGACTCCGCGACCCGCGGAAGAGCGTCGTGGCGCTCAACAAGCTCCAGCCACACCTATCCCCAACGCTGCCACATCGACGCACGTCACCTCCACCTTCCCATTGAAAACACATCAACGCGTTACCACTCACAACGATGCCACCCCCCGACGATCCAGCCATGGCGCCCTCAGGCGATGTCACCATGCCGCCCGACCTCTCCATTCTGGGTTCCGAAGTCAGCCTCCACCCACCGGGCTTCACCGCGCAGACCGATTCGGAGCGCGAGCTCATCGAGACGATGGCACGGTTTCGTCGCGCGCCGCTCGATTTCTTCCGCGAAGTCGGGCTGCATGTTAGTGGGACGGGATGGAGGAGCTATGAAGATGTGGTCGGGCAGCCAATTTTTTACCCCGGGTTCAGTGAGAAGATGCGCGATGCTGTGCTCGGGAGTCCGATGCTGCAGGCTAAGATCGCGGAGCTGGCGAGGAGGAGGGTGGAGGTGGAGGTTGGTGGGCATTTGTGTGCTGCTGAGGAAAGGGAGGCGAGGGAGAGGGTGTTGAGGGCGCAGTTGGGCGATGTGGCGGATAAATGGACCGATGCGATGATTTGCAAGATGGATTCCAAGCGCTTCATCCGCAGCGCGTATTACCTCGTCACGCAACTCCTGACCCGCGCGTACCACCAGGGGATCCACGTCAGCAGCGAAGAGGTCGTTGCGCTCCGGCACGTCGCGGCGCAAGCGGCGAAGAAGAAGCAGAGCATTATTTTCTTGCCCTGTCATAAGAGCCATGTGGACTATGTCTCGCTGCAGATTATATGTTACAGGTTGGGGATTGGGCTTCCGACGGTTGTGGCTGGGGATAATCTTAATTTTCCGCTGGTGGGGCCGTTTTTGCAACATGCGGGGGCGATGTGGATTAGACGGAGTTTTGGGGATGATCAGCTTTATGGCACGTTGGTGCAGGCGTATATTGATACGTTGCTGCAGGGCGGGTTCAATTTTGAGTGTTTCATTGAGGGAGGGCGGAGTAGGACGGGGAAGCTGCTGGGCCCGAAATTCGGCATCTTGCGCTTTTTACTCGACAGCGTGCTCTCCGGCCGGGTTGAGGACGCGATCGTCTGCCCGGTTAGCACGGCATACGACAAGGTTATCGAGGTCGACAGCTACATCAGCGAACTCCTCGGACAACCCAAACCGAAGGAAAATCTCCGGGACTTTCTCTCCGCCTCGTCCATCCTCAGCCTCAAGCTCGGCCGCGTCGACGTGCGGTTCCACAAGCCATGGTCTCTGCGCGAGTTCTGCGTCGACCAGTTCGCGCGGTTTGATGCCGTGCCGGGCCCGCTGGAGACGGAGCCGGAGCGCAGGGTGCGGTTGTTGAGGAGTTTGGGGTACCGCGTGCTGGCAGATATTAATGAGGTTAGCGTTACGATGCCCACGGCGCTTATTGGCACGGTGCTACTTACGCTGAGGGGCCGTGGGGTTGGGCGCGCGGAGTTGATTCGGCGGGTGGAGTGGCTGTGCGAGCGGGTTCGCGCGGCGGGTGGACGAGTCGCGCATTTTGGCGGGCAGCCGACGGGCGTGGTCGTCGAGCGCGGGTTGGAAGTACTCGGGAGCGGGCTCGTAGGACGAGTAGACGGCCTCGTCGAAGAGACCTACTTCGCCGTCGACCGGTAAGTCGCCACTCTTTGGCATGGAGCCTTCACTAACGCGGAGCAGATTCCAACTCTCCTTCTACCGCAACATGACAATCCACCTCTTCATCCTCGAAGCCCTCGTCTCCGCCGCACTCTACACCCGCGTCAAAGCCGGCGGCGGCGCAGCCGCAGAACGCATGCCCTGGTCCGACCTACGCCGGGCCGTCTTCTTCCTCTCTCAGCTCTTCCGCGGCGAATTTATCTTCCCGCCTGAAGGGCTGGATGCCAATCTCGCAAGGACGGTGGCGAGACTCGAGGGGGATGCTGTTCTTACCGTGACCCATGCGGCTGGGGTCGGGGATGAGGAAGGGAAGGGGGAGATTTTGACCGTGGAGTTGAGTGCGAAGGAGAGGGAATCGGGACGGGAGAACTTCGACTTCTATTGTTTCCTGATTTGGCCGTTTGTGGAGGCGAGTTGGCTGGGTGCCGTGTCGCTGATTATGCTTGCGCCGCCGGCGGGGACGGAGGGGGGAAGTGCGTGGTTGGGGATGAAGGCGGTGCAGAATGCGGCGCAGGTGCTGGGCAAGACGTTGTATCACCAAGGGGATCTGAGCTACTTTGAGGCTGTCAACAAAGAGACGCTTAAGAATGCGTACGCAAGGTTTGAGGAGGAGGGGATTGTGGTTGTTAGTAAGGGACCGCGCGGGGAGGTTGTGAGGCTGGCAGAGGAGTGGGTTCCGATGCGCGGGGAGGATGGGAAGGTGAGGGCTGAGGGCAGGCTGTGGGAGTTTGCGGAGGGGATTAGTGCGTTTAGGAGGGAGGGGAAGAATAGGCGGGATGGGGGGACGGTGAGGAGGAGGGTGCTGGGGTTGGTGGAGACTGTGGGGGGGTTGTTGTTTGAGGAGGAGAGGGGGGCGGGGGGGGAGGTTAGGGCGAGGGGACGGAGGAGACGGGTGGATTTGGGGAGGTTATGAGAGGTGTGTAAGGATATGGGTTGGAGGGCTGGGCTTGTGCATACTTTGTTGGTTTGTATATCAATGCATTTGTGGATATCTCGTCTCTTGTTCACGGTGTCGTGCTCGCGATGCGGCCTGGGGCCGGCGAGAACAGTTGACGTACCCGCACCACATCCCCAACGTTCCTTAACCCTAACCCTAACTCTCATGCCGCCACCTAACCGTCCCCCTCCCTATCCTCCCTCCCAGTCCATACCCATTAAAGCCCGTCAAATCACCAACCACAACCCCATACCTAACCCCAACACTGAGGCCCCTGGCCATCATACGAAGGGTTAAGCATGTGCATACTCCCGAGCTTGTACAGTAAATAATATGCATTTGTGTGTATCCCATCGCGCGCTTAAACCATCATCACCGCATATCCTATCGTTCCGTAAAAACCAGCATCCCGCCCCACCCCCTCCATCACAATTTAACCTCCCTCCTCTCTTGCACCACATATCCCGCCGCTGCCGGATTCGTCCCCGCATTCATCCTAGCCGCCGGCGCTTTGCGCAGCGTCCCGCTGAAGAAAACGGGATGCGTCGTCGCGGGATCATATTGCCTTGTCTGCTGCGCCGGGAACGGATTCGGGCGGACCTGAATTCGCATTAGCTTTCTGCTAATCCAACAAGGAGTACGACGCACCTGCGGCCGATGGGGCTGGAGCGTAGAAAACATCGCAATTGCACCAGGGAGTTGATAATGTCGAAGTGGCGTCGAAGTTGGCGATGCGTGAGGTTGCGACGCGGAGGAGCTAGCCTCGGCCGGCGTCATCCCGCCACGCGGGCTAACGCCGCTAACCCCGCAAGCTTGGCGCGAGTGGCTCCGCGTATTTCGACTTCAACTCCAAAAAGTCATCACGACCCCTGCTGGAGGACTACGACACCAATGTTGCTCGCACGCCCCGTGCGAATACGCGCCTATACTCATGCTGGACGGCGAATACATCCCGGACTCATACTACCCCTTGGACTCACATACACCGCGACCGCGCGAATTCATGCCGCTTCGCGACGCCGTGATGAAGGCTTTTCGGATCTCCCGCTAATTGACATCAAGGATGCGACCTTCTACCGACATCCGCTCACAGCGGTGCTATCCGAGGAGACGGCCAGAGCGGGGAATCCCCCCATGTTCAGCGGCCTCACAATGAAAATCGGAGGCGCCCCCGACCCAACTCCCACCGACGACACGTCCCCCACCTCCCCGCCCGCCCCCGCCGAACAACACTGGGCCGTAATGTCCGCCGCCGCCCTCTCCCGCACCTCCTTCCTACAAATGCTCCGTGGATCCTATTCGTGCGTCCCGCCGACCGCGCGGCGATACCCGCTCCTCAGCGACCCCGCCTTCGCCGCTGCGCGGCCCCACTGGCGTACCCCCGAATCCGCAATCGCGTACATTGGCTTCGACGCCGAGCGCGTGAAGGCAGGGGGTGGGTATTTAGCCTCGCGGTACGAGGCCTGGGGCGGGGATCGCGGGGCCAGCGTCGCGGAGTACGTGGGCGGGCGGATGGGGCTGAATGCGCTGGTAGATGGGGAGGTGGGGTTCTGGCCGAGTGAAGAGGAGGTGAGGTATATTTTGCAAGGGGTGGGGCTGGGCGGGTTGGAGGAGCGCCCGGTAGAGGCGCTGAGTAATGGACAGATGAGGCGGGCGAAGATTGCGAGGGCGCTGGCGATGAGGCCCGAGTTGGTGCTTGTGGATGGCGCGTTTATGGGGCTTGATCCTGCGAGCGTGAAGTTTGTTTCTAATCTTCTTCACTCGGTGGCTGTGGAGCGGGCGCCGCGCGTGTTGTTTTCCCTTAGGCCGGACGAGCATATACCTGCGTGGGTCACGCATCTGATCTACGTGAGCCGTGGCTTCGATATCCTGGAGCAGGGTCCCATGGACAAGGTGCTTGAGTCGCTGAGCAAGCGGGGGGAGGCGGTGCACGGTAGGGGATTCCACGACCCGCACACGGCGATCAGCGCGCAAGAC